TCACCATCACTGTTCTCCTAACATTAAAAGTCAACGCAAAAAAAAAAACAATAATTTAGTTGAATAAAAAAGTTCTATTTATATGTCTTGTACAAAATTGCCTGGAAATAAACCAATTTTTCCATGTAAATTTCCTTTACACCATTGATCTGGACGACGTTCGAGTAACAAAATTAGATCACCTAGAAAATGAATCATAAATAAGAACAAAATAATATTCGTAGAATTTTACCTGGTTGTATGGTTAATTCATCATCATGTTCTGCAACATAAGAATCTATAACTTTAACAAATTTAATTGTTTGTTGCTGTCGTAGAGAATCTGTTGATGCTGTCATAACAGATGGAAGAACTGAAGAAGGTGGATGAGGTGCTGCTGATCGATTATCTATACAACATAATAAAAGTATTAGTAAGAGAAATTATTATTAAACAATCAGCATGCACGTGGGGAAAAAACAAATCAATGCAATCACATGCAGAAGTTTCATTTAAACTTACACATTGAATGTAAGATTGCAGAATTTTTTGAGAGCGTGAGTAGGTATGGGTGTCTCTTCTTTATGTCTCTAACTCACACCCACACCCTCAAGATGGTATACAGGATTGGATTCTATTAATTTACTAGTCTTTTACCTGCATGTTTTGTTACTAAATCAACTATATCACGAATAGCAAGATTAAGTGGAAGTGAATCGATATTTGTGCTTGATATTGTGATTCCATCACGTAGCGGACAGATAAATTGGCCTTGATTGCTAGCCGCCAAATCTTTGATGCATTGCAAGCAATATGTATGCGAACAGGGCAATATGCGGGGTTCATTAAAATTGTCCAGACATATTGGACATTTTATTATATCTTCAAGTTGTTCTTTAAATTCTTCTCCATTTGTCTTCGATGGCATTTTGATGACTGAATGATAATCTACAAAAAAAAATAGATTGCTGATGGAAAGTATTTTAAAAGTATGAGAACTTCAACTAAAGAATATATTAGTGTATTGTACGCTTCGAGTTAGAAAGAGTATAATCTTTTTTTTTCCAACCACCATTCATGCAATGTTATGTAAGCTTTTCATCAATATCTGCATGCTTTTTTTATGTCGATGTCTCAGAGGCAAAGTCAAGAAAAATGATTAATAGTTACTTCCTACTGACAAAATGGTCTTATTCAGTGACTCAGAGAGAAAAAATAAATAAGTATTTTGTTGGTAAATGGCATAAAGTAAAAAAATATTTTCACTATAGGTCATGAATAAGCCTAAGACATTTAAATGAATTTTAAGTGAAAAACAAACATGTTACTTTCATATTGTTGCAAATCGAACGATGAAAAACATGAAAGCGTTGCCAGGTACTAAAAGCACTTTGATTCTGTATGTGATCAGGGAGAAGTACGCATCTGGTCAAGAAATAATTGAAAAATAACTTCATACAATAAAATATTGATCTCCTCCTGTGTAAATTATTCTCAAGAAAAACGAAAAAAAAAACATTCTCCTTTTATTCATATTCACGCTACACGATGTGGCAAATA